TGATTTTTAGAAATAGGACAGAAATGTTTCAAATACTGAAATCTAAAAAATAATTTTGTTTTCATTCGATTGTAATAAGTTTTTTTATAAATTATTTGTAATTAAAAATATATGTAATAATATTTAAACGATTATTAATATATGTATTAATACATAAAATCATTTTATATATTAATTTATGCATTTTTATTTTGTATTTTTTTTACTTATATAATGCACTTGTTTTTCAACTTATGTAAAAGCAATCAGCAGAAAAGTGCGATAAATCACTAAATCCATCGGCAAATAGAATTAATAATTGTAATGGTGAAACTATAACAAAAAAATTATTAGTATTAATTTTGGATAATTGATGATTTGCATTTTTTGCTACTTATAAAATAAAATAAAAATCTAAAAAATTTATATTGCTTATGCAATTTGTATATGCTGATGCAAAAAAAGAAGAATATTATATCATATATAGAATATATAATCATTATTTAAATAAAATAAAGTATGAGTGCACAAAAAATATATCAAAATATCAAAAGAATGCTATAAAGAATAATCAATTATATTTAAGAACAAAATATATGTGCCTTTAAAATTTCAATAGAAAAAATAATGATAAATATATACATGTATAATGTAGTTAAATATTTTTATAAATATTTTATTTATACATTATATTTTTTAATAAATTATTGAAAATTTATAATTTCAAAACTAAACTGTAAATTAAGTTAAACTATATAAATTTTTTTATTACTTAATATTCTTGTCTCTGATCTTAAAATTATAAATTAAGTAAGGTAAATATGTAAAAAAATTATAAAAAAATTATATAATTTCCTATTTCTTAAAAAAATTTTTATGTCGATTCCAATAATATGTAAAATTCATTAAACATAATTGTAACTTTTGAGATATGATATAAAATATGAAACATATGAAAATATTAGGTTTTTCTAAAGCTATATATATATTAATAAAGAGACATCTGTTTACTAAAATAATGGGCATTATAATATAATTATACATTGTAAAGGATACAAATTGAATTGTTCCTTTCATTATGTGTTCAATTTTCATTCCTGATTTTGCCAATGTTCGTCCAAATTTTCAATCATTTGAAATTATTAGAATCATTCCAACATCTACATTATATTTCATTTTCAATAGATGAAAAAAACTTTACATATGAAAAAAAAGATTTTCTAGTATTTCTTTATTTAAATTATATAATATCTTGAAGTATAGATTACATTCTGAATGTAATGCGAAATATAATGCATTTTCTTAAATTTGCATTATCTATCATTTATTTGTCTTGAAATTTAGTAAATTTAAAAAATCTTTTATATTTATAGTTTACAATTTTAAACTCGTGACATGAATAATAAATTTTTTCTCACATCTTTGTCAAATTTCTGTAATATATACATAATATATATATATTCTATAATAAATATAAATAATATATGTATATACATGTATTAGAATTTTATTTATATTAAATATTAGACTTATTTATAAATGCATTATATATATATATATAT